ACAAGAAAAATTATTTCGAGAAACATGCAATGATCCCATTGTGGTCCAGTTGGTTTGGACGCACAGGTCTCAGCCCACGGACCTAGGCTCAAACCCAAGCAGCAAATATTTTTTGTTAAATTTTATTTTTATAAACAATTATAACAAGAAATAGTATTCCTTTATTATTAGCGTCCTGGGGTATTTTTATAAACAATTATAACAAGAAATGTTATTCCTTTATTATTAGCTCGACTCTGAGCCACCCCTCTGTTCTCCGCAGAGCTCTAGAAACTTCTCCCACCGCTACCGTGACCTGGCCGTCCTCGCATGGAGCCCAAGTCGCGCCACATCGCAGAAGCTACTTGACAAGAAGTCCAAGTCCATGAGCACCACCGCAGGCGGCCCACCATGGCCGCCGATTTGGACACACCGCAGGCGCTCTTCAGACGTCTCCTCCGCTTGCGCCCATCCTCTCTTGGTGAAGGCGATGGAGCTCTCACCTCCTCCCGCCACCCTCCCCACGGCGCCTGGCAACGCCTCCACGCACGCTGCTGTCGTTAGCGCCGACGCTTCGCGCCCTCCCTCCGGGGGTAGTCAACGCCAATGCTGCTCCTCCCGGTGGCACTGGACACCGTGGAGGTCCGTGCCGCTCCGACGCCCGCCACTCCCAGCCACCGGTTGCTTGACGCCATGGAGCATGGCGCAAGTCGCTATCCAATCTGGAGGTCTGTGGAGGTCCTTAGCCTCCTACACTCATGGCCCCATGCACGGGCGCGCTTAGCGATGCTCATTGCGGAGCTGCTATCAAATCTCCCCATTGCGTGCTCTCGCTGCGCGCGCCGCTCGCGCTTTAGGTCTCCGCCGTGCTACCCATGCTCTCTCTCGCTCCTCCCGCGCATACACGCGCCTCGACACATGGAGGTTCAGCCGCCATCCTTCCTCCCAATGCCGGTGGAGGGCACACACCACCCAAGAGCAGCTATGGCAGCAGAGACACCGCCAGCGGCGGGCGAGGCGGCAAAGAGAGCGGCCGTCTCGCGACGCCGAGCGGAGCGCAACGGAGCACACGGCGCTCTTATTGTGCCCTCGCCTGCCGCGCCACCGTGACTGAAGCCGCCGTCGCGCCGAGACGGACGCCGCCGCCTCCATGTCGAGTGCCATTGCTGCCCAGCTGACGCTGGAGCTCCTCTCGCGCCAGGCCCTAGACCGCCACCGCCCCCCGTGCCCTGCCCTCTTCTCGCTCCGCCGGACGCTGCTGCTCTCTCTCTCTCTCCTTCCCTCTCTGCTCTCACTCGTTGACCACGCAGCAGTCACGAAGGGATGAGGACTGGGCCAAAACCGTGGTCGTGGCGGGTAGACTGGGCCGAAATCACGGATGAATGAGCGCGAGGGCCAATTTTAAACGGTTTTGAGAGTTAAGGGACTGCGTGTGTGTCTGGTTTTAGAGTTAGAGGGCTAGAAACAAACTGCAGCCATACTTAGAGGGCTAAAAATGGACTTTTTCCTATTAACTAAGAGCTCCATATTATCAGCATTGGGATTGTTTAACTAAGTTTAGCGAGGAACGGAGGAGGATCTCCCCCTCGTGAGAAAAACACTACTACCGAGGTATATAAACTAGGGTTATTTTGATCCATACCATTACAATTCTCGGAGTTCTGAGATATGCCATTACAATTCACCTATTTTGAAATATGCCATTATAATTCTACATCTACATGATTCTTACCATTTTCTACATCATGCGGTTGTCCACGAGTACTCATCTTTCGTATAGACTAAAATGCCCTACTACTTCTCTCTTCCACTTGGCGCGCCGGTGGGTCCCACACGTCCGCCTCCTCCTTTAACCCACCCGGCGACATGGAGGTTCAACCGTGGTCTCCTCCCGTGCGGTGGAGGGTCACACCACCCGCGGCCGAGGCGGCAATTTCACGCCGAGGTCATGCCGTTTTACCCATGCGATGAGGCCACCCACACACCCATGCGTGGTGTGTGCCGCCACCTCGTCGCCGCACGCCATGGCTCACCGCAAAGCTCGCCACCGAGATCCGACGCCGCCGCCATACGCCGGATCCATTCAGGCATAGCACCCACTGCAAGCGCTCAATCCATACTGAGGAGGAGGCAGGGCGATGGAAAAAAAAAAAAAAAGCGCGCCGGGGCTCTTCTTCTCTCTCTTCCGTGGGCGGCCGTGTCGCGTGGAGGGCTCTCTCCGCTCATGGCTCTCTGTCGCTGCTCGTTGGTAGGAAGCGTGGATCTCGCCAATGAGCTCGGATCGGCGTGAGCTTGCGCTATGGCCCATGGCGTGCTCACCGGGAGCTTGTTCGGTGGGCGGGCGCGAGGGCGGCCAAGCGCAATTTTGCAACCATCGCGAGCGTCGCCCACGCCATGCACGACCATGACCACCGCCATGGACATAGGCCGAGGTTGAGAGGATCGCGTGTGGGACCCACACGCAATGAGTGGAAGAAGAGAGGAGGCCAAACGGTAGATGGACTTTCCCGACAAAGGGTCTATTAACTAAGAGCGTAGAATGGTAAAAGTCAAATTGAGACGAAGAATTATAATGGCATGTTTCAAAATAATGTAAATTGTAGGATATCTCCCCTCATAAGAAAAACAATACTACCGAGGTAAATAAACTAATAAATAAATAAATAAATAAATACATCCATGATTATGATAATATAAGGAGGATTTGAATTTAGATAATATATAAATAAATGCACCTTGAGATGTATCCTGCATGCAAAACAAATTACAAATTAGTGAATAGTATTCTCTCTTGATAATAAGAAGCACTGATGACCCCACCGTACCGTCCCCAGCTACTTGTTGTACTACATTTGTAAGCAGGCGGCGGCTTCGACGCCATCCATCTCGGCTTTGTTTATCCGTTCACTGTACACACGCACCGCATGCACGCAATCTTCTGTTCCCTTTTTAAAATCCCCTCCCTTGTCCAGTTGTCTGTTCAGTCCAGTCCAAGGCCACGTCGGTTGTTCTTCTCACTCCACAACACAACACAACACGCTCGTTTCCCAAGCTGCCCCCGCGATGCGCTTTGACAGGCAGAGGTGAGAGGTGTTTACGGTAATCTTCGCCGACCGAAGACCCGCTCCCGTCGCGCCCGACGGAAACCATGTGGGCCAGGTAAATGTTCCCCGCAGGGTACAGGGACCCCCGCCCACGTCGGCGCCAGTATGGGCCTGGACGGCTTTCTCCTACCGCCCGGTGACGTAAAGCCCCGTTCCTCCGTTTCAGTACGTATAGTATATACAGAGAACAGGGGAAAGAAGAAAACTGCTAAGGTCACCCATGCTTTCAGCTACACAAGATAAACATACTTACTACCTATCAATTCCAAATTATAAGTCGTTGTGACCTTTTTGGAATAGCGATTTGCTATGATACAGTCGCTTTGACTTTTTTTTTGTATATAGCAAAATCGCTATACCAAAAAAGTCAAAGAAGACTTATAATTTGGAATGGAAGGAAGCAGTAGAGATCTTGTCACAAGAGAAATAGAAACACAAACCTATATGTTGCAAAAAAGACCGCTTAAGTTGCTATACATATAAACTGCAAATAACAACCACAAAAACTCAAATTGGTATATTTTCGTTTTATGTTGTGTTGCATAGAGTGACCGTCATACATCAAAAATGAAGTATGCGTAAACATACTGCAAAGCTACCATGTGTTCCGTTGGTGCAACAATCAAGCATGTGAATTGTCAACTTAGGATAAACATGGTAGACTCTTTCGGAAAATAACAAAAATAGCACAAGAGTTTAGGCTTACTTGGGATTATATTTGTAGAGAAAGACATTAAATAAGTTTTGAGCCCATAAAACCCTTACAAATCACATATTCTAGTGGCTACCACCACCAAAATAAAAAAAGGTGATTGTGATGGGTTGTGGGGCAATTGCGATGCAACAGTAGCTTGTGTAGTCAAGTTGTTCCTCTAGAGACATTAGAGATGTTACTATGTTAGGTAGTGAGAGGGATTCCATTTTAGAGTGTCAGCAAGTAGGCAAAATAGTAAACTAAATTTGGTAATTTAACTCAAATGGTCCGAGTACTATTTGCACAAAATCGAACTCCTTTTGCAATCAAACAAAAAAAATCGAACTATTGCCAAAAACTTCAAACGAGTTAACGATGTTTGATTACCACATGGTTTTTCTTTGGCAAGCTGATTTACAGTCTTGTCTATGTTTTGTTGGATGTTTTAATGAAACTCTTTGACATTGTATTTGTATTGGCCACGTCAGATGTGCGAAGAGGACTCTTGGAGAAAAGAACAAAGGAAACGTGTATTATAGTTCTAGATATAGAGTATATAGTTGTGTCTACAGTTTATAGCCATTCGGCCAAGGTATCTAACTATTTCTTTGACTGTCTAGCGGAATTAAACTACCGTTTGATTGTATCTTATTCGAAGTTTCCTTGAACTTGGTTCATTTTATTGGCTATGAAGATAGCTAACACAATCAAACAGAAGCACAGTTCATGGCTGACGTCTATTTTTTTTATTTATATATTTTGTGGAGGTATGAAGCTCTGGTGGACATAGCAGCAGCAAGCCCGCGTGGATTTGTCGCATTTGTTTTGTTTAATACTCCGTTATAATTAATAGTCGTCAGACAGAAGCTTTTGCGTGTGCGTTTACCAGTTGCTCATCCGGTTACATCGCACGGAACCTCAGGCTGAGGCGACGGAGAGCAAGCAAGCGAAAGGCTCTGCCTGGAACACAAGAGACAAGAAGGGAATGAAGAGGAGAAGGGTAGACGACGACTGAGGCTAGAAGAAGAGCAGGAGCTATAAGTACCCCGCCCCTTCCACCCTCTCCCTCCACCTCCCTCCCTGCCTCATCCATCCGTCCGCCGTTCCTCAGCTGGCCGGTTCGATCCCAGAGAGCAGAGCGACACACACACACACACACACGGACGGATCAGCAAGGTCGGCCACACGACCTCCTCGGCAATCCGGCGCGCGTGCGTTTGTGAATGGTGAACGGCGAGCCGGCGGGGGCGGAGTGCACGCGGGCGTCGCTGCTGGGGAGGTATGAGATCGGGCGGACCCTCGGGGAAGGCAACTTCGGCAAGGTGAAGTACGCGCGCCACATCGGCACCGGCGGCCACTTCGCCATCAAGATCCTCGACCGCAGCAAGATCCTCTCCCTCCGCATCGACGACCAGGTGCCCATATATGTTTTGCTCTGCCCGTTTCGAATTTCAATCCAGTCCGCCGGTCGACCATCATCGTCCACTGACAGCTTCATTCGATGGCTTCCTGGCGTCGGCAGATTAGAAGGGAGATCGGGACGCTCAAGCTGCTCAAGCACCCAAATGTCGTCCGCTTGCACGAGGTGCGTGGCGTGTGCGTGTGCGTGTCACACCAAACCTCAACCTCCCCTTCTTCTTATCATTCATTCCCTGCCGTGGTTCATTTCTTGCTGGAGTGGATGCTTCTCCTCCTTCCATTTCCAGCTGGACTACCAATTCTTTGTCTGGACTCGTAGGATATCCGATCCCGTGGGCTGCCATGACGCTAGAAATGAATTAACTTGCAGTGCTCCGAAAGAGATTAGGCTACCAAGTTGTACTAACTTGCAAGTAACGGAACATTTGGCTTTTACTTGGAACCAAGATAAGGATTAGCGGTTTTGCTTGCGCGGGATGAGATTCTTGCATCACAAACAAAACAAACGAATTCCCCTCTGCCAGCTCTCGTCGCTTGCTTGTCAATGCTGTTCACGCGGAAAACACCGGCGGGAGCTTTAGCTCTGTTTTTTGGTACCATAAGCCCCTCTGCCCCTGTCCGGTCACGGTGGGGCATGATGCGCTTTCGCCTCGCCACACCACCTCCATAGAGGCCTGTGCCTGGCTAGTCTAGTTCACGGGCTCTTCGCCTCTTGGGGTTCCAAAGCAAAAGAGAAGGCTCACGGACTCCGTGAATGAAAACTCAAAAAAAAAAAAAGTTGCAAGAAAACGATGCGATTTTCCCAGATTTTTTTGGTGAAATTGATTGTGGATTTGTGGTAGTAATAACAAGAAAAAAGTTTGCTTTATTTTTGTGTTCAAAACCCATATGCATTTCAAGCCTCACAGTTTGCAGTTGTTCCGACGAAGTGATCACATGGAAAGCGTCAGGTACGTCTCGTCTCGTCTGAACCCGAGCCGGCCGAATGAATGGTTTCCGCTACCCACAGTAGCCACCAAGAGCCGGGCCCACCTGGTAGTACGCATATATTCTATATGCCTCTTGGGCTAACTATCGAGCCATGTGGCCGGCTCCCTGGTGGGTCCGTCACGTCGGCCTCACACGGTCCCGGTACATCTGGCCAGGCGGGTACTGTGTTAAGCATGCCTCGTGAGCTGGGTGCACCATGTCACGGCCACACCGCGTGGGCCTGCTCGCAACACTTGTCAAGCGGGCCCCGCACACGTGTTCCACGGCCCCTTGGCTCCTCCATCCACGGCCCGCTTGTGATCGGTCTCTGGCTTGCAGCAACCAATCACCGTTACGAGAGACCCGCTGAACAGTTTGGGGGATTGATTGATGATTTGGAGGAGCAGGCTCAACAGCTCCCTCACCTAACGAAGCCCTTTTTTTCCCTACAAAACACTGGCATCGAGTACGCCTAGTACTACCAAAGAAGCCTTGAGCATTCAGGGTAATAATAATTTGTGATGAGGACCAAACTGAACCGGGGAAAGAAAAGATGCAGGGAAACAGGCTAAATTTGTCTGCCTGCAGAAGCCATTGTTCTACCCATATCTCATTCAGGCCGTAGTTGCTGAAAATATCCAACGCGCTGGGATGTTAAGACGGAATAACAATAAATACGTGGGCCTGGTGACTGATATTGATATCAATCTTTCTCTGCAGGTTGCTGCTAGTAAAACAAAGATTTACATGGTGCTTGAGTTTGTTAATGGTGGCGAGCTCTTCGACAAGATTGTAAGCCACCAAAACTACATCGTTAATACTGTTTGTTTACATGTAAAACTAGAGTCTCATCTTTTTGACACTTTTTTCTGCTTCCATTGTAACTATTCAAAGGCTATGAAGGGAAAACTGTCTGAACATGAGGGTAGGAGGCTTTTCCAGCAGCTAATTGATGGTGTCAGCTACTGCCATGATAAAGGTGTCTACCACAGAGACCTTAAGGTATTCACATAATTGTTAATCTGTCGTTACATCCGCTTGTCGATGCCACAACTGTTTATCATTTGCTTCTCTTGCATTTCATATACTACTTGTCAGCGTGGAACTCAAGTAGGGCTTTGATTCTTCTGTGACAGCAATTTTCTTCTTTATTCTACTATTACAGCCAGAGAATGTCCTTGTTGATAGGAAAGGAAACATCAAGATCTCTGACTTCGGCCTTAGCGCTCTACCACAACATCTCGGGGTACGATGATATGATTTGATCAGCTTTGTTCTGTATATATTTATTCCTCTGTATGCGCAATTTAACAAACAGCATGCACTTCACAACTTTCAGAATGATGGACTTCTGCACACAACATGTGGCAGCCCCAATTACATAGCTCCTGAGGTAAAAACTGACAATAGAAAGTAGTACGAAATAAGCAAGTTCTTTCATTTCTCCTCTAGGTGCTAATTGTGTGATAAATTCATGCAGGTTTTGCAAAACAGAGGTTACGATGGCTCCTTGTCAGATATCTGGTCTTGTGGAGTAATTCTTTATGTGATGCTTGTTGGTTACCTTCCCTTCGATGACAGGAATCTTGTTGTTCTTTATCAGAAGGTTGGTATTAGTACAAAATAAGCTCTGAAATTTTGCAATCTACAGAAGTTGAGAGACCATCTTGACAGTACCAAATTGCTCTGTTGGTATATAGATTTTCAAGGGAGACTGTCAGATCCCAAAGTGGCTCTCACCTGCCGCACAGGACCTTCTTAAAAGGATCCTTGAACCAAATCCGATGAAGAGGATCAACATCACAGGGATCAGAGAGCATGAGTGGTTCAAGAAGGACTATGTACCTGCTGTTCCATACGATGATGATGAAGACGTCGTTCCCGGTTCAGTTCTCTCGATAAAAGAGGTATATGAAGTTTTGAGAGGACATAGGAATAAGAGAAACTACTCAATTCTTTTGGTTTCATATTGATTAAAGCTGACTGTTGATTTCTTGTTCCTGAAGCAAATTGAAGAACCAGCACAAGAAAAGTGTACTCATATAAATGCTTTTCAGTTGATTGGAATGGCTTCTTCCCTTGATCTTTCTGGTTTATTCGAGGAAGAGGTTTGTGTTTATACATTTTCTTTTCATTGATTCCCTACATTTGTACAGTTCAATTAACAGCACAACGTAGTACCACACTTTTCTCTCTATAAATCGCATATAGCTCAGTGCCTCAGTCAACACTACCCCGATGAGCCTATCTGGATACCTGCACATTGAGTTCAATGTTGATAAAAAAGTGAGACATGGAAATCTACCTCACTTTTATGGTTCGTGGATTCATTGCAGGATGCAGCTCAAAGAAAGATTCGGTTCACTTCAACGCATCCACCCAAGGATTTATTTGACAAGATCGAAAGTGTTGTGATGGAGATGGGATTCGAAGTTCATAGGGGGTCAAGCAAGGTAGATAAGCATGTATTATAATCACCATAGCATAGTTATATATAAATTGATAGGATAGCTGAACTGAACTAAAAGTCATGCTGTTTTGCAGCTCAAAGTCTTGAAGAATAGCAAATGTTCCAAGAACTCAAGGAATCCGTCATCATTTTTGGTGTGCACTGAGGTAAAATGACACAGGACACCATCCTTTCATTCAATTCAATGCAGAAAAGAATATATATCAGTTGATCTTACAGTGCAATTCTGATCTTTCAGGTGTTTGAGCTTGGGCCATCATTATATGTGGTAGAACTTAGGAAATCCCATGGGGACTCTACATTGTATAGACAGGTAACAATGCACACCAAATATTACATTCTTTTGCCAGTTAAATTATTGCAGATGTATATGCAGTGCTGCATCTAAAAGTGCAATTCTGTTGATACCACAGCTGTGCGAGAGGCTCTCGGATGAGCTAGGGGCCTGCAAGACAGAGCAGATTATGAGGACTGAATCACTGAGTGACGATCTTTCGAGCCTCGATGGCGAAGCGTTCCCTCTATCTGCATTTTGATCATTGCTTCCCTATGTGGTTTTGGGCAGAGGGGATGAGGAACATGCTCGTTCCTGATGCAATTCTAGATTAGGATCATGAATATAGTGTACAAAGCGAGCGGTGCAAATTAGCCACCAAGTTGAATATATATAATATATAAGAAATAATATGTTGCATACTTTCTAATCCTCGGATTCTCATTCTGATCCATAACTAAGTATTGCTAGATCAAATGTTCGTTTGAAGGTTACATCCAAATCAGAAGAATTGTCCTGGAGATCGTAAGCTGGGGAGCAAAGTTCATACAGATATAGTGCACTTCAGTTTGTAGATATTTTTTTGAGGGAAAAACACTAAACAGATAGCAGACCTCGACATCATACACCCTGAATCCATTACATTATTGTTTGGATGTCCATGTATTCACCTCAATCCAGTTTAAATTTCACACCAACCACTCCAACACACATGGATTAAAGTAGACACATGAGCATCCAAACAAAGGCTAAGTAAAAGCACACAGCAACCGTATGGATATTGAGATGACCTCATGGAGGATTTGGAATTTAAAGTAGCAAATAACATTCTGAATCAAGTTTCAAACACCCTGAATCCATTACATTGTTCACTGCAAATAGCATCATACAAAGTCATGCACAAAGTGCAAACCAAGCTATTAAGACGTTACATCAAACATCATACATGTAACTGCAAATAGCATCATACATTCGTATGCACAAAGTGCAAACTAAGCTGTAATGTAAGCGACGATACATGTCACATAAACTAACAATTCAACAAGAACTGGTCTGAAATTCAATTCTGGGGCACGCAAGTTGCATAAATACCCCCACCTTAAATCACTGGCCAAGAAGTTTAGGAAGTTCAGATAAAGTAAAGAACAAAACACCTTACAACAGCATCACTTCATCAGTTTGGCAGCATCAAGCTCGATCATCGTTGAAGAGTTGCAGCGTCCGCGGCTTCTTGGTACGGGGCTTCTTGGTACGCGGCATCTTGGTGCTGGAGCTTGCCTTGGCGCTTGGGAACAGCTGCAGCGTCTGCGGTGTCGGCGGGCTGGCCCTGGCTGCTTCCGCAGCAGCCATCGCTACCTCCTTCATGTTGAAGGAGTTAAGCGCCACCTCCTTCACGTTGAAGGAGTTAAGCGCCCGATGTGGGGTGGGCTCAGCCTGAACAGCCTCTACCTCATTCTCAGCAGCGTTGTCATTGAGGTCATTCTCAACCGCATTCTCATTGAGGTCGAAAAGCGGCTTTGATTGAGACGACGGAGGCGTGTGCTTGGCCTCGGCGAGAGCCATCGGCACAACACTGCCCCCCGTGCCGATGGTTAGCGTGGCCAGCGATGGCATCGCGTTGCGCCGCTCCAGCCTCACCTTCCCCACGTTCGCCTCATTGCCTTCTTCTTCAGACGCTGCTAGGTCATTCTCGGGGGATTGCGGCACGACCCAGGAAGGATCTTCCTTCTTACCGAGGTCGTAGGCCACTTTAAGAGCGTCCTGCGCCCTCTTCCGAGCCTCCCGCGCCTCCCGGGCCAGCCGCTCCGCGGCTGCGCGCGCCGCGGTCGCGTGCCGCTGCAGCAGTGCCAGCGCTATGCGCGACCCCAGGACGAGGACCCTCGCGCCGCGCTCGTCGAGTGGCTGCCTGCAGGGCGGCGCGTAGGTGAAGGGCCTTCCGTTCTGGGCCGCGGTGCAGGGAGGGCAGACGAAGACGCCGTCGGCGGGGGGCTCCGGGTAGTAGAGGCACGGGAGGTGCGCGACGGCTTCGCGGCAAACCTGACAGGTAACGGTTGGGGCTGGAGGGGCCATGAGCGTGTCGCCATCATCGTAGTTGCACGACGGCGAGGTGACGAGGAAGAAGCAGCGGCAGCAGTACAACGAGCGGTGGGAGAGGAGGATACAGGAGCTGCAGAGGCGGCAGTGCACGCCACGGCGTAGCACGTGGTGCAGAGGCCAGGTATCCGGATCGGAGGCGCAGCCGTCGCCGTCACAGCCGTGGAGCTCCCCGAATGGAATTGGAAACAACCTGGGAGGGGGATTCATCGGTGGCGCTGGGCCGAAAGAAGAAGGGCCGGTGTTAGTCGATTAGGGTTTCCCGAGAAAGGGGTTTGACCTCAATATTTCACAAATCTGAAAAATCTCAACCCAAACTAATGTAAAATTTCCATAGATAGAGAATACCTGTAACAATATTTTTCCCCTTCTCTTGAGCCATTAGAAATTTCTAAATAGCAGGCCACAACTCGTCGGCGATGGAGATCTACCTACACGGTGGTGGTGGCGGCGGCGGCGGCACGACGGGTACGAGGTACATCGAGGTACATCAAGATCGGAAGTCTATGATAGTTTCCATCTCAGAGCTTAATCATATAGAGGATTTCTTTATGGAGTTGCGCCGAGAGTTAGGTGTATCATCGATGAATGGGAAAGCGGAATGTTTATGGTAGGACACTAGCATTGGTTGTCTTATAGCCTCGGGGAGGTGGCGGCGTGGGTAGGCCGGGGTGGGTGGAAAGGGGATTGCGGCGGCTAGGGTTTGGAGAAAAGGTTAGTAGAATTATTATTATTATTATTATTATTATTATTATTATTATTATTATTATTATTATTATTATTATTATTATTATTATTATCATCATCATCATCATCATCATCATCATCATCATCATCATCATCATCATCATCATCATCATCATCATCATCATCATCATCATCATCATCATCATCATCATCATCATCATCATCATCATCATCATCATATCATCATCATCATCATCATCATCATCATCATCATTATTATTATTATTATTATTATTATTATTATTATTATTATTATTATTATTATTATTATTATTATTATTATTATTATTATTATTATTATTATTATTATTAATTTCCCAACAATATTATGGTTTTATTCCTTGAATCATATGTTTGTGAAACCAAAGGTTAATAAATATCTATGCTATTGTTCACAATAATCCACATTTTGTTTCTACTAGAATAACAACTAATAATATATTTATCCTGACACTACTACAACAACTATTTCAAGAGACAACCCTTTATTTTCGGAGGCAAGCAAAATATGTTCCGATCTCCTAAAATGCTTCACGATTTTCAGAGGCGGTTGACCCATTTATAGTGATAGACGAATAAACTATCATCTTCAAAAATCAATTAATAGAGGTGAACCTCTTAAGATGTTCGCCACTAAAAATGAGGATCATTTTTAGAGGTGTACCCCTTAAAAGGCCCTCATCTAGAAATTGAGGCCCAAGTCCATTTAGCCTCTCTCCAACCCTAGAAACTGGCACCTCCTCCCAATCTCAATCTCAGCCGCCAACCTCTCCTCCCCACTGAGCACCTCCCTCCCTTGGTCTCTTCTTCTCACCAAGCGACACATCTCTCCCTCTATCCCTCCCACAGCCTCTCATTCCCACTGGTGCCTTCCTCTCCTCGATCTCTGTTCGATGCTTCACCCTCCCTCGGTCTTTCCTTCTCACCAATCATACCTTTCACTTCACATATCTCACATGTCAACGGTCTGTGGTGTGCCTTTGGTGGCCAGTAGATCTGCCCCCTCTAATCAACAGTTGTGCGTGGCCCTTGCCCTTCAAGCGACGGTGTCGTGCGGCCCCTGTCGCTACCAATGACACAAAGGACCCCTGCCTACTTCACAGTGCTCCCACCTTGACGCCTTTCTCAACGTCATCCATGGTAGTTGATTTGGTGAATGGTGCTCGCAGGACTTGGAAGATAATGGAGATGGTTGGGCTCACTCTAGTCAGTGATCCATGTGTTTATTTGCAAGATCTATGCAAGGGCGGCATGGTACGGTTGTTCGGCAACATGGTGCAATTATGTGTTGGTAGGCTCACCTGACTTCTTCGTGCCCCGATGTCTAACGAATATTGATGAGGAGCACTACAAAAGTCATCTTTGCAAGGTCAACAACTCTACCGACAACTTCATCAGCATACCTATGTGGCCGAGGACTCCATCAACGTGTGTGTCTCCCCACTCTCATTTGGTTATGTTGTAGTCATACATAGAAGCAAATGGAGCTAGAGAACTCATGGGCGTGATGCGTTGGGCTCCTGCATCGCTAGAGAGCACGTGCCTGGATTCTACATAGGCAGGACCAATGAAGCATTCACCATGGCAAATAGCAGCTGTGGGAATTCCACTCGTCCTTCAACCCCTCGTCGGGAGGTGCGGTAGGGTGGAGGTCTAGGGTGCACTACAAGCAAAGAAGGGATGGAGGAAAGTGAAGATCACACACCAGAGCCTTGATAAATTCAAGAGTAAATGGCCATTAATTTATCATCTCTATAGTCATGCCCGCTAGGTATTTATAGTACATACCAGAGGGCATAATGAAATTACACTTGCACCTGAATTGAATGGGAACATTTTTACACACACTTGGGGGAACCTTAGTCATTTGACACCTCATATTCAACCACCCACTTGACGCCGTTAGAGTTCCCTGCTTGGGGTGCCACTCTTTGATGGGCCCATGCGACGATGCCTAGGGGCGGCTTCGAAGGTTCATCCTAGCTGGTCAGCTCTGCAACCAACTTTTGACCTTGCAAGATAAGACGTCGTGATACCTTTTCTAGGGATGTTACTGGGGGAGACACATACAGTGCCAGCAAAGGTATCTGAGGAAACAAATGCGCTGGATTGGTGCCATTGATGGACACAACAACAAGGTCATATAGATGGGGTTCGGATAGGGGATGCAAATGTACCCTTGCACGAGAGTGAGGCCTTGTAATGAGGGTTCTGTGGTGGTAGGTGCTGGTGAGGGCCCTATCTTGGGTGATGGAGATGCGGGGTGGTGCTGCGAGGGATTCCCCCAACAGTAACCCCTCAGGGCTTTGTACCAACTCTGTGGGACGAAGCAGCGATATTAGGAGACAAGTGAACCTTGAGCCCGAGGGTCTTTGACTCAAGAGACTCCTTGGCTATCTTCGACCGATGGAGTTAGGCCTG